CTGTTGTTGGCATGCAATTGTCCAATTTCCAAGTCCAGGGTCGGAGCCTGTGATGTCTAAACCAAATCAGACCATCCTGTTTCTGTTTGCCACGGTGGTATCGGGAGAGATGGTGTGAGTGATCGTGTCTGGTCATCCTGAAAGCCGGGTTTTCTAACCAATGGGCCAAGGAGGGCGAATCTCTAATTCTGGAGGGTTTGCTGAGTGGATGGATGCCTGGAACCGCAGAGGCATTCTCTCCCGAGGTGGGAAATCAGGCCGGGACACCATATTTTGGTTTGTTTGTCTTCTCTACTCTTGGACAGTGTCATCTCCATGAGTATGGGATACTTCCTGTCTCTTCTGGACTGTGTCCTGAGCCCCTCGACCCAAGTCAGGCATATAGTAGGTGTACAGTAACTGGTGTGGATGCACATCATCTGCATAGAGACTCTCCTGGGTCAGACACAGGTGGACTCTGTGTCCTGGGTTTTGTTTTGACCCCTTGATACGGACTGAACTGTGTCCCGTCAAAATCCTACATGGAAACCCTAACTCCCAATGTCACTGCTCCTGGAGACCAGGCTTTGAGTATATAACTAAGGTTAAGGTAAAGGAGCTCATGAGGGTCGGTGTCTTTATGAGAAGAGGAGGAGAAACCAGGGCTGAGCGCACACAGAGAGAAGGCCGTGTGAGGACGCGGGGAGAATGCAGCCGTCTGCCGGCCAAGGAGCGAGGCCTCGGGAGAGACCCACCTGCCCGCACCTCCATCTTGAGCTTCCCGCCCTCAGGCCTGTGAGAACACAGATATCTGCTGGTGCAGTCTCCCAGTCGGTGGATTACAGCAGCCCTGGCGCCAGCACACCCCTCATGGACTCTGTCCCCAGGGCAGCCCACCCCACATCTAAGAATTTCTGCTCTGTTTGAGAAATCAGTTATTGTGTTGGCAACAAGGACAGGCTTTGGGGACAGATTTAGAGAGGAGGAGGACACATTATCTAAACAAAGTCCTGTGGTCTCAGCCCTCACTTTTAGGTCAAACTCACAAAGAAGGCAGCTATCTGGTCAGAGCAGTGGGGTCTGCCCAGGGAAGCCCCACTGCACAGGAAACAGCAGGTTCTTCACTTCCCCATGGGCCTTGAGCACTGTGCGAGCATCAAGACTGTCATCATATGTTTGGCAGTAATAATCGGCCTCGTCCTCAGCCTGGAGCCCACTGATGGTCAGGGAGGCTGAGCTGCCAGACTTGGAGCCAGAGAATCGGTCAGGGACGCCTGATGCTCGATTGCTATTACCATAGATGAGGAGTTTGGGAGCCGATCCCGGGAAGTGTTGGTACCAATGCACATTGTTACCCCCGATGTTGGAGCTGCTTCCAGTGCAGGAGATGGTGACACTCTGTCCCGGGGCCCCAGACACTGAGGACGGCTGGGTCAGCACAGACTGGGCCCAGGAGCCTGGAATAGGGACAGACAGAGAGGTGGTGATGCTGGGGCTAGAGACAAGAGGAGGGTCCCGTGTGGCCTCCCAGGGTCCCCTCCACTGTCCCTGTATCCGGTCACCTGT